AGTTCACAATCACGAAGTCTAAATTTCATGAATAATATGGAAAAAGGTCAATATTAAGAATTAATTTCGAATTAATTTTGAATTAATTTCGAATTAATTTTGAATTAATTTCGAATTAATTTTGAATTAATTTCGAATTAATTTCGAATTATTTCGATAGATCATTATAAATATTTTTAATACATATTATAATCCATATTATGTGGATTTTTGATCACTGGGAAATTGATAATCCATAATTTTGAAGAGAAATAACTTTACAACTTACTTCTCCGTAGTCTCCTTCAAAGTCTTCTCAGTCTCATCTAAATCAGTTTCGAGTGATGCGACTTTTTTATGAAGATTAGAATGTTCAATTTCTTTAGAGGATGAGTCTTCTTGGAATTTTTTAAGCTCTTGTTCTGCCGCATCAGCACGAGCATTGGCAGTCTCGAGTTCAGCTCTGAGTGCATTAACTCTCTATTAATTAAAAATAAATCAAATAAATAAGATTTTATTATAATGATTCATTTTAAACTTTGGACACGTGAATATATTCACTTTTATACTATAGTACGGTACCCTCAGTCGACCAAGTTTCTACGTATACTAAGAATGCCTGCGCGGAAATTATCCCCACTTTTATTTATTACCCATTATTATTATTATTTTCTTGTATTATTATCTTGTATTATTATCCTGTACTATTGTCTTTGTTATATTAACATTGCATAGAAAGACAATAAACCAAACGAATCCTTTTGACTAATTCTATGCAAATTCGTACCTATTTAAAATACAGACAAATAGAAAACATGATACAAATCTAACCCACCTCTTTAACTTTTTCCATATTGTATTATTTCGAAATATAAAAGCTTAAAGCAGAGACAAGTGTTTTCAATTCTGAAAAAAAAATACTTAAAATTGTTGAGGCTGTAAAATCAATAGCGGAGAAGAGAAACCGTTTGTTTAAATAGTTTTTTTTTTCAAATTACGTACCTTGTAACACTATACTATCAGTTAAAAGTCTACGCATTTTTATTGGCTGTAAGTGAACTACTATACGTTATTAATATAGATTAATAGAATCAACTTTGGGAATGGTGTG